AGGGCAGGGACAGGGGGAACAAATGAGAATCAAGACCTGTCATGTAAAGGTACAAGATCCCAATAATGAATGTAACTGTATTGTATACCTGGATTGTACCAATAAACTCAATAAAAAGAAAAAAGAAAAAAAATTAAGAAAAAGAAATTTTGTGGTCTAAAAGAAATTCACCTGAAATGTAAAGATATGGCAATATTAAAAGTAAAAAATAGGATAAGATATCCTATGCCAAAACTAATCCAAACAAGTGGGAGGCTGTATTAATTTCTACACAGATAACTTTACAACAAGGAAAGCAATTGGGGGAAAGAGAAGCATTACATAAGATAAACAGGTCAGTTTTCTGAGAAAACATAATAACTCTTCATGTACACGTGTCTAACAGTGAACAAAAAGAAGCAAGACAAAAACTTATGTATTTGCAAGGAGAACTAGATTTCACTATGATATCTGAACACATAAACATCACTCTTTTAAGAAATTGAGATATCTAGGAGATCTGTAAAGATATATAGTCCCTGAAACTCAGAACATCAAAAATCACGTTCACACATAATATTCATGAAGACAGAGACAAGTTCTGGTCCATAAAACGTACCTTAACACATTTAAGAGAATAAATACAACACTTTAGACAGCAATGGAATTAAATTAGGACTTAACAAAAAAGCTAAGGAAAAAATTCAAAACACCTTAGAGATTATATTTCAAAAAATGGAAAGGGAAAGGGATGAAAAAAGAATTAAAATATATTGTGTATATACACCAAACTTCCCACAAGGAATGTAAGCATTATGTACTATCCATGTACTAATAAAAAACTAAAAACAATAAAGAAAACAAGAAATGCAATGAAAAAGAGCTATATCTGTGGTCATTTTTTCATGTTTTAATAATACCAATAGAAAACTACTACTACATTGTGTAAGAAACAAATACAGAAAATAAAAAATGTACACAGAATAAAATAAAAATTACTATTTTTAACCAGTCCAAAAAATAACACATACCAGAAAAGTGAAAGATAAAATATTCATAGCACACTGTAAGGCTAGAATGTTAGGCACTAGGCATTAGCACATATTTTGGGAGGAGGTAATTTGATAATAGCTATCAAAATTTACAGCTAGTAAGACCTAGAAATGTATCCTACAGATTTGTTTGCAGATGTGAGTAATCTTAGAACGATAGCCATTATGATATATTTGTCGTACACCACAAATGCGTAAGATTTTAGTTATCACTTTCATACAAAACTCTGAAAGGTTTCAGCTGTAACTGTTAGCAATAAAGGCCAGGCATTTTTCTCACAAAGATTAACTCTTTTGACTACATACAAGTTAGAAATGCTTCAGTACCAAAGAATATGCACAGATAATCATTAAGGCCAAAATTTTACAAAAGAAGTGGCTGAAAAATTCAACTCCCCTAAAGGAGCCAATGGATTTGAAGTTAAACTAATTAAAAATGTCACATAAGTTTAGTTGGGTGGGTAATAGTGGTGTTTTTTATGGATGGGCTTTTTGCGGGTAGGGGATGAATTTTAAAAACCCAACAAAACATTGATGTAACTATGGAATAACTTTCAGGTTTTACAGATCATTAATAAAAGCTCAGAACTTAGCATCTTCGTTGTTTCAAATCTCTTCACACAGTTATGTGAAACTTTAGTGATGGTTTAAACATAGTGGAATTTTTATTTCAATAAAATACTTGCACTTTTTAAATTTAGGAGAGATAAATGTGAACTGGAAATAATATATTCATAGAAATTTATTGAAATCATCTATATTTGAAAAAATATCTTAAGTAGTAAGACTAAATGTAGCATCAAGTAATTGATAGCATTTAAATTGCCAGGTGTGGTGGTACAGGCCACGTCGGAGGCTGGGGCAGGAGGATCACTGTAAGTTCCAGGCCAGTGTGGGCTACACAGTGAGTTCAAGGCCAGCCTGAACTGCACAGTGAGACCCTGCTTCAAACAAATAAACAAACAAAACTCAGCATTTAAATTAAAACATAACTTGAAATTATTCTTAAAGACAGCCAACACGTGTCCTGCTATGAGGATGGGTGTCTGGGAGACTTTTATTGCAAAGCTGAATCAAACAACCAAATGACCTGGCTCCCTGAGCCCTTACAACTTAACCCTTTGCTTATTTAGGGACCTGGTGATCCGGGGACCCCTGACAGTCTCATAGTGTGGGCCACTTGGGAAAAGGTGGTATTAAACTGTGCTTCACCCAAATTTTGTCTACTGGGACCACTTTTTTCTTTCTTAGCTCATTGAGCTTTCTCACAGTCTGCAGAGTGGCCAGCCAACATTCTTGTGCTTTTTCTTTTTCTCCTCCTGATGGATAATCTATCTTTGATGGAAGGAAGCAGTTCTTCCAGTAGGTGTTGCACTAGTGTTTTTATACACTGTGGGAATCATCTTCCTTGTTTCTAAGGAAACAACCTCCTCAACTGATTTTCTGTAGTTTCGTTACATACCTGAAGACTTTAAAGAATAGAATAGAGCCTAGACCAGGCTTAGGGCAAATGGGGAGTGGCCAAATGCCTGAAAAATGATGGTGGTTTCCTTATTATTCATGTCTTAAAAGATCATTTAAAAGGTCATTTGCTGTTTCTCAAGAAATTCTGGGTTCTTTTGATTTGCAAGTGGCAGAAACAGAGCTAGAAGTAGCTTAAGCCACCATCAGATGTTAAGGTGGCTCACCAAAACAGCCAAGCGGCTGTGTAGCATGGGTGGTAATCAGGGAGTCACCCCTCCTGGGAACACCTCTGTCTGGGGTCCAGGAGGCAGGAAAAGGCCTCTCTCTGGTGTTCATGGGTTTCTGCCTGTGGTGGGAATGTGGTGGTCAGTTTCTACCCTTTTAGGACAAAGCAGAGCAATGTCTCCTAATTAGATATTTGTCCCATAAACTGGGAAGACATGACCTAATTTACACCAGAGTTGGAGAGAGCTTTGCATTCTTTCGTTAGTAGCTCACAGGTGTGATCCCATCTGTTCCTTGATATCCTCAGGATCAGGGTATCAGAATCTCCATGGAGAAAAGCCTGGGAATCTACACTCTGAACCAACACCCTGGTCACTCTCAGAATGACTGATTAGCCCACCTTATCCTTACAGTACTTTTTTCACAGGCCAAGTTTTGGGCAACTTGCTGTTACTTATGCAGGATGCTTGGAAAACCCTTTATAGCTGTCTCATAAAAAAGCTCCCGTAAGCTCAGCTGTCACTTCTGTGAAATACTAACTACTCTCCTTTGCCCTCTGTAATCTCTGCTCACCATGTACCCAGCACACACATTTCTCCCTTTAGAAACACTTAACTTTGTATATATTTGAAATAAACAAATGACATTAGGTAAACTTTATATGCATTTATATTGACTTCCTCTTTATTTAATGAGGGCAGAAATTTTATAGGGGAACATGAAGATTTTGTATGACTTTTGACACGATGACTTTTCCCATATGCTAAAATGAAAAATCTATTTATAAAAGATTGCAAAATTGACCTGGATGACGTTAAAAAATCTATTATGGGTCGGGATTTAGCTCAGTGTGGCACCAAGACTGCCTTGCAAGCACCAAGTCCTGAGTTTGATCCCCAGTACACCCCTCAAAAAAGTAAAAGATCTATCACTACACTTAAACGAGATTTATTTTGTAGCCATACTTCCGAGGCATTGCTGGACATTAAGAAAGTTGTTGCACTGTGTCAGGACAAGATCATGATGCTGGAAGGTTTGCAGAAGTCATATAAATTACTCCAAAATACATAGATTGCCGAACCTGACTCATCTTTCATTGTTCTAACAGGTTACTGTTCATGAATGGAAAGAAGTATTTAGGCTGATTTTTCTTTTGACTTACCCTTGGAAATAACAAAAGCCTCTCATGCCTTTATCTGCTTATGCTCCTCGGTCAAGGATTTCAAAGTGTTTTACAAGCACAGAGCCAAACCAGCAATTTTTCCTAGTTCCATCGTGTTTAGAACCAACCCTTCCTGAGTGAAAAACAAAGCAGAAAACAACAAGGCAGTTTCTCAAGTGTTCCAGGGTAGGAAATTTGAAGAAGAAAAAAAGAAGCAAGAACAAAACTCTTTCTCGTTCATTTATGGGTTGTGGCATTTCTTGACAGCAATTACACAAAAGTCTGATTTGAACTGTTGTAGATTAAGAGGAAAGGAATGAATTTCACAGTGAAGCTACACATTCCAGTTTTCAAACAATCTCTTGTCAACAGGCTAAATAATGTTTCCAGTGCCTTTATTTCTCTCAAGCTTGATTTTACTACTAATCACCTTCCATTCTCTTTCTACACACAGGGGGTGAGCGAGTGCTTCCCCCAGCCAGAGGTGGGCGGAATGTCAGCCACAGAGGTGGGCCAGTATGTTCTGAAAAATCCTATGTGATTGGTCGCTATTGTCTTATGACTTTGTTATCGGGGAGAAAACATTTAATTTCTATGTTATTTCTGAAATCTCCAAAACAAAGTTTTTGTCAAAAAGAATGCTTTTAGTTGTCTGTCTATATTTCTACTCCAAAACACAAATTCAAAGTATTACGAAGAACAAAAAATTCAAACGATCTTTTTTTAAAGTCAGTGTAATTTTATGATGTTGTATATTAGAGGCAGGATTGGAGGTTAGTAGGGATAAATTTGGACTAGTAAAAAAGCATGTAATGCTCATTTAAGTGCTTTTTTATTCATTTAAAGGACAGGATACTTTTTAATCCAATTCTAAAAAGATTAAAACAAAATTTTGCTTTTATTAGTGACAGTAGTTTGACTGAGTAGCCTTTTCTTTTCTTTTTTTCTTTTTGGTACCAGGAATGGAACTCGGGCCCTTGCACTTGTAAGGCAGGTGGCGAAACCACTGAATTAAATCTCCAGCCCCTCTTGGTCTCTTAAAACTTTGCTGTAAGTCCAGTTTTGCTATTGGCACGTGTTTATTTCTAAACCTTATCTTATTTAAATCCTGACTTTCATACCATGCAATACTTTGCATGTATTATTTACCAATAACTTCCATCAATGTGCCAATTGAGTGCACATTATTGCTAATTCATAAACACGAAACATCTCTTCCGGGTATTTTGACTAAAACGTTCTTTAGGAGACAAATGTCGAATAAGTTGTGTGAAGCAGGTCTGCCATGACCACTGTATCTTGGCCTGCAGTTTCTTTTTTTTTTTTCTTTTTGGTACCGGGGATTGAACTCAGGTCCTTCAGCTTGCAAGGCAGGCCACTGAACCACTGAGCTAAATCCCAGGCCCTTTGGCCTACAGTTTCTACCACATGCACGTCTTGTAAGACAACACAATCACAGTGAGTTATGTAAAACCAGTTTATTACTCACAGATGGACAACAAGGGACAACAGAATCCTAGAGGCTCATGAAGCCACGCTCCCGAGGCTCAAAAAGCCTGCTTAGGTTAAGATGGAGCCTCATCTGTATTTATCCCATCACATGGCAGCTAAAGGACCTGGAAAACAAACTCAGGTTTTACACCTGAGGAACTCACATACTGGACTGAAGCATTGCAGGACAGAATGTATTCTTAGCACATTTAGTTTACTCTGAGAACTACTGCAAGCAAGAAATGGGGAAAAGGCTGGATCACCAAGGCCACCCTGGGCCTCGTCCTGCAAATTGCTCAAAGGTTTGGGATAAATGTAGAGAACAAGTGTACAACTGTCTTTGTGCTTTGTGTTATAAATAAAAAATGAACGATGAAAAATCATATACAGAATGTTTTTATGTAGGAAATCCTTAACACCACTTGATTTAGAATCAGAAAATAAACTAATATACATATTTAAAGCTTGCTTTTCTCTTTAATCTGTATTCATTAAGATTGTATCTACCAAATAGTGACCACAGTCTGTGACTGCGTACTACCTTAAATGCTGTGTACATATCACTTTATTTAATTCTCTTGCCCCGAAGACTGGCACTCGTGTCATCACTTTGTCACAGAGCATGGAATCTAAAGTTTGCCACCCAGCAAGGCAGCGACTGAGCTTAGAATGAAATCCTGCTTCCAACAACTTGAAGCTGATGATTCGCTGGAGGTAAAAGAAAGTAACTTGGAGAATTACTGTCAGTATTAAAAAATCAAATAGAATGACAGAAAAGAAAATTTAATAGAATAAAACAGTACAGAAAACAACCAGGAAATCACAGATAAGGCATTATTTATGAAGTTTTTGTTCTAAATACACATTTAAGAATTGTGTGAACTAATTCTTAATCTAGAATGCATTTCTTTTGGCTGTAAATATATGAAAATGTACTACTTTAACATTAAAAGAAATAGCAGTGTGATTTTAAAGAGGTGAACATCATAGCCTAATTTTTAAAAGGTTTTATATCATAACTATCATAGGATAAAAGATACATGTAGGCCCAGAGCTAAATAGTCTATTTTGTTTTTTAAAGATCTATGCTAAAATGAGAAAAACATCAGATTAGTCTACTTATCGGACAGATAGAACTCACATCAAATACAACCATACCGAACCACAGACACACCAAAATAAGGTAAACATATAATGTCATTCATTTTCTTTCCTGAAGCACAAAGGAGCTCACTCAGCAAATAACAATAAGCAAATCATACAAATAAATGTCTATGAATATATTTAAGACTAGTGATGATGAATTCAATAATAATGTAAGGTGATTTTCACTAAGGAATGCTGTCTAACAGACTTTTGAGTAGAAAATGGTCAGGTGAATGAATCTCTGTACCACAACAGATTAGTTAAGAATGACATCTGTTACCTAAGTCACCTGCACTGCATGGACTGTGAAAGCCATCTTAGAAGTTACACTTCATTTCATCAAGGGCCTGTCTGACTTTTGCCCTTCATTAAATTTGGACTTAATCTACAAATCAACCCCTCTGCTCTTCATCTCTCTCACACACAAGGCTGCTGGAGGGAAAGAGAGGTGAGGCTAAGTGCAAACAGGCACGTTGACCTATATCAGGGTTTTCTAGTCTGTATATCTGTGCCCTCCTTTCCAGATATTTACATTTCTTTATTAGCTTTCATTTATGCACTCCCTTATTACCTTTACAGACATTATAAGATATGAAGTCCAAAGTCATACCTAAAGTAGCTGGTGGATCTAAAATTGAAGAAAACACCTTTAAGTCTTAAAGGAAAAGAAAAAAAACTCAAAAATTCCTGACAATCCTTATAATTTAAAAATAATTTCAAGTCATGACTCACATTTTAGTTTACCTTTTAATAGCTCAGAGCACTCCTTTTAGATATGTTCATGTTTTCAGTAGCATCACCAACTTAAAAAATGGACAATGAAAAGATGTCCAGTAGCATTCTGAAGCTTCTAGTTCTGGCTATGTCCCATACATTCTGGAAGGTAGAACTGATACAATGTGCCTTCCAGCTTGCCTTTGAAGTTTTCCATCTGTCTGCTTCTGAGGTGAAAAATTTAAAAACAGGAAGAGTCTGGTAGGGAGTGAAGATTCAAACACACTTTGAGATCTCACACCCATTATGTTTCCTAAGATCTCAGCAGCAGTTGCCAAGAGGGATATTCAAGGATTTAGCTCAGTGGTTCCACTGCCTGCCTCATAAGCCATGTGCAAGGACCTGAGTTCCATCCCCAGCGCCATTAAAAAAAAAAATCAGCTAAGCATAAAGGAGCCTGTTTCTTACCATTTCCTTTCCTGAAGCTTGCACACTTCCCACTGAAGTAGAAAAGAGATTCAACAGGGCTCATGCTCCACAGCATAACCTGAGAAAGACCTCCTCCTGGCAAGAAGGGAACTTGTTTCAAGATATCCTCTTGAATTGTAAAACCTAAGCAGTTGGGGAAATAAAGGAGTAGTACCTCCTTTGTCTTGGTCGATGACTAGGATAACTTCTCATACCTTCATCTTTTATTTGTCATGTTTCCTCCTCTTTTGAAAACCAAATTCACATGAACTGATGAGCCTTCTTTTTTGTTCTGGCTGCAAATATATTTTGTGAATGTATAGCAAATGATACTTGTAAATATGGTTTTACATTTTAAAGTGTACTCCATTGAAAATACCATGGTATAGGTATAGAGAGGGGACGATAAAGTTTTAATTCTTTCCTATCAGAGAGCAAAGCATTCAAACATAAAGTGCCAAACAGAACTGGCTTAGGAAAGTACTTCTTCGCAATTCAGAAAGTCAACCTACATTAGCCAAAGGCAGCATTTCAAAGTGCAGAACATGTGGCCCCATGTATGGCTAATGCCCATGGTTCTGAAAACAGCTTACTTAACACTCAGGAACTCTGCACTTGGGGAATAAAACATATATGTTACAAAGGATGCAGAGAGATCAAAGTACATGTAAATATTTCAACACCTTCCATTTTTATGAGAAAAGTTACTCAGTCCTTAAGACCCTCTCAGGGCTAAACTGGATATGTGACGAGATGTTTGTGTATGGACATTATTCTGACTTCGGATGCTATCCTTTAATTGTATTACTGAATCTTAATCCTAAATATAAATGAAAACTGATGCTCATTATCAAAATGTTCACCCTTAAGGGAGGTGAAAGGGTAGGATCCTGCAAAGCCTAGAAGCAGCTATTTGCAATCGCAGGCCCTGACACATCTTATCCTAGCACCTCAGCCATTCATTTGGTTAGACACCATGGAACCAAGTCCCTCTGACAGGATGAAAGCCAGAGCAGAAAACATTTGCCAGCACTATACAGAAACGGGGAAAAATCTGGCGGAGCTACTTTGATGTGGCTTCGGAATTACAGACACTGAAAATCCAGACAGACATCGGAAGTCCCCCCAAAATAAACTATGCTGTTTGCTTTAAAACATTTGTGTTCTATCGTTAAATGTAGTGAGTATACAATCAACTCTGAAAGAATTTCTATGAGAAAAAAAACTGGGCAAATTACTACTGAATTAAAATGAATATGTGAAAATAACATTTACCCTACAGAAAAGAAATTGTGTTCTTAGCTGTGCAAATATGGGATTAACTATATTTTATAATTTTCTACTCTAAGGAAATATTAAGGAGTTACATTCAAGTCCTAGGAATGAATGCTATGCTATATTGAGAAAATCTATTTCCTTTCCTTGTTTGTTTATATATAGTACTTGGAATAAATTATGCAACACAGGATTTAAGATATGTTCTAAGAATTTATCCTAAGATCACAATGCGATTTTAATTCCAGGTTATAGAAAAGGATACTCTATTAATGAGGAGGCATAACATCACACAGTTGAATGTTCCTAGATGTCTAGTACAGATTAACATAAACATTAACTGGAATATCTGTATTTTTTTTATTATACTGCAATCTGAATGTCCAGAAAATTATTATGGAATTAAACAGACAATTGCATACAACTGAAAAATAAACAGCACTTTCAATGTACAGAGTTTAAAGATTTTTAATAATATTTCTTTAACATAATTTGTCCTTCATTTTAAAGCTCTAGCATACTGATATTTGAGGATAATGTTTCCAGCAACTACTACAGCATAGTATTGGGTGGAATAGGCCATTGCAAAGGAGCCTATCCTGTCAGCATCCAGGGCTTGTCGATACCCAATGACTTGCCCCAATTTATGAAGATGCAAATCTACACAGCCATAGTTTATGGAATCTGTTTCTTTTATAATAAAATGAAGCAATTATAACATCACATACTTACAAATTAAGATGATTTTAAAGTACACAAAATACAACAATTTATGCCATGTGGTTATATGAATAATATTCCTAAGTCAAACACTTTGAAGCACAGAACTATATTTGAAAAGCATGTGGCTTTCAATTTCTGATATTCATCCCTGAAAGAAGGCAAAACACAACAATAACATGTCTCTGAAATGCATATTTCTTTCTTTTTTTTTTTTTTTTAAGTACTGGAGATCGAACTCAGGCCCTTGTTGTGAGGCAGCGCCAGAACCACTGAGCTAAATCCCCAGCCCTGAAATGCAGATTTCTAACACAAGGTCAATCTAGAAATACATTTTAAAATTCAGTAAGTTGCCTTTTTAAATCAGTATGCTCTGGATATAATTCTCAAACACAATCTGAACTGATTTCCAACATTCGTTCACCGTCTAACTTTTGCTCCCTCATAAAAATATACCATGGGACCATTTGCAGTTGCATAATTTTCATACTGACTAGCTCAAAATATCTAACCACATAGGAATATCTTTTTCTCTCTGCATTTCCACATATGAAAAAGATTTTACTTCATTCTCATAATGAGCCACCACTAGCAATAACATTTTCTTTTGCTGGAGCTTAAAGTAAATCTGAACATCTCAAAAGGTTTTTATGAAACTATCAACCTGCCAGTCATAGCTGAGAATAAGTACACTTCCTTCAGACAATTTACCAAGTGAATACAGTAACTAGACACAGAAAGAGACCATCATCCCAAGAATGAGATACTGTTTTTGACTTTCTGACCCTGTCTGGGCACAAGGGAGATACAGAACCAGGTATCCCTGGAGAACCTTGTAGGTAGATGCCCAAGGATCTTACACCGAGCTAGAAAATGGAACCACCTGCTTTCCGCCCACATAAACCTCCTCAATATTTCGGTCATCTCCTGAAAGAAAAAGAAAAATCCATTAAGTGCTTTGGTGTTGATAATTATTTTAATTGTCATTAAGAGAGATTTAGAACAAACCATTAAAAAAAAGAAAGAAATCCAAAAAAGCTGCCTTCCCCTCCTCCTTCTGCCTCAGCTTGATTACAATCTGGTCAGAATGACATGATCAGAAGAATTTGAGGAGTAGGGTCTGACTTCTGCACCTAAGGCAGAAATGACATCTAGTTGAAACCACCCCATCCCTGTCCCTTCAGCTGAAGTGGTTGGTTTGCATTTTTAGCACTAGTTGGAAAAGGAATATGAATTTTTTCTGCTGCAGAGTCATACTCAGCATGGTGAGACGAGCAGCCTGCAGAAACTGAGCTCCACAGGAAGTGACGTGTGCACCGCCCCCATCTCAAGTTCACGCAGCACTCAATGGAAGGGGAGGCAGAGGAGATCCTTCTGCATTACTTCTGGTTTCTCTCTCTTCATGAACAGAGTTGAAGAGGAGTACAGTGGAAGCACATGTGGAGAGGGGCCAGGACACACCTGCCACATATACAACAGGACAGAACAGACTAAGGTACAGAAGGAGAACAAGAGGGTTCAAGGTCAAGATCTCCAGCCCTTTGTCCTTTATTCCTCATCTTAGGACTCACAATGGTATGTTCTAGGGCTTCATGTACATTTCAAATAGGACCTTTAAAACATGTTTGAGGGCCAGGGATTTAGCTCAGTGGTTCCGCCACCTGCTTTGCAAGTGCAAGGTCCTGAGTTCGAGCCCCGGTACGGAGGAAAAAAAAAAAAAAAAGCAAACCAAAAAGAAAAAAACCAAAACATGTTTGATGCTGAGGTGAGTTAAACATGAATCAAAGCAGGCTAACATACAGAGTTTAGTATGTGGTACAGTGAATACAGAGAACCATGCACAAGAAAAAGATTTTATTTAGCATAGAGACACACATGCACCTACCTAGATAGAAGAACTTCTGAATAACAGCCTAAAATGGAAAATAAAGATAGTAAAAAATACTTGTAATATCTTGTACATTTACATAAGGAAATTCTGAAGAGACTTGTTGGCAAAGCCCAGAAATTGATATTTATTTCTCAATGTCAAAAATCTATTTCTAGTAATTAATAGTCTTTCCCCAAAGCAGACAAACAAAAATAAATTCCTCTGATCATTAACAAATATTTATCCATTGCCAGAAAGTTCTAGGTATACAATGGTAAAATCTTCAGAGAAAAAGGATTACATTAATTAAAGAAGTTAATTTCACGAAATGAGTCGAATATTTCGGGAAGTATATGAGATAAGATGAATGGGGTTGAGTCCCACTAGCAGAAAATCACCTAGTAAAAGGGGGAGTAAATAATATGAGACTAATGATGGAGTCAGGACGTACTACCTAGAAGTTACGGCCAAGAAGGCCATTCTGACCCTCCCTTCACCAATCTCTCCTGAAGCAGGTGATCAAAGATAGGAAGAATTGTCTGGCCTTCCCCGGAATCAGGTCGTAAGACCTTCCCTCGCTATACTTAGTGGACAAGAGCATCCTTATTTCTGCAGACACAAGGTCACGGTGAAGACGGAATAATCAGGTCTTGCTAGCTTCCCCCAGTTCAGTGTCACTGGATCATGCTCTCTCCTTTATTGCATTTCTCCATGACTCTACATTCTTCATCAAACTAAATAAAAATGCTCAGGTTTTCTAATTTCTTTGGATTTTCATTTCAATAAGAGGGATCTGTTGTCACATAAAACTTGAACCTAACATGGTAGGGGAAGAGATATTTTTTTCTCCCCTAAAATGATGAGTGATACAAACTTGAAATAATTCAGCATTTTTCTTTTAAACACTCAGAACGATACACTTGTCACATTTATGTTAATAAATAGGTCAACTTATAAATAATGATAATAGTTAATTCTTTTTTTGGAAAACTATCGTATAAATGATCATTATTAAAGATGAGTTAGTTTATTATATTCATAGTAAAATATTTTATAAGAACAGAACCCCTTTTCTTATGAGAAAATTGATATAGCATAGTGGTCAGTTGCCCAGCCTCTGATGTCAGAGTCTTCTCTCTGAATCTAAACTCTGCTAACCAATACTAGCTATAAATTCTTAGGTAAATCTTGTAATTTCTCCTAAGCCTCACTGACACTATAATTAACATGGAAATATTTACAGTACCTATCTCTCTTGGAAGTGCTCCGACAATTAAACAGAATTATGTCTGAGAGTACTGAATCCCATTCCTACCCAGCATTTAGAAGTGTTCAATGTAAGTAACTACAGAATGGCTCCACTCCTTATAAACACACATCCAGCTACACAAACACTCACAAAATACAAATATTTCGTTAATACAAATTTTCTTTAAAAAAATTCTTGTTTTTTTGTGACAGGGTCTCGCTATGTAGTCCAGCTGGCCTTGTACTTGTAGCAATCTTCCTGCCTCAGCTCCGAGGGCTGGGATTACAGGTATGTGCCACCACGCCAGGGTAAACTTTCTCAACATTGGTCTCATGTCATAATAATAATTATCTAAGGGATCTAGCTTCTCCTTAACATTTCCCTGTATCTCCTCAGAATATTTCAGTTTCTGTCTTTGACAGGGAAGCTATTATGACTTCTATGAAATAAATGTCTTTTGATTAACTTTCTTTTACTTACGTCAGAATCTGCATCACCAGTAAAATGCCCACAAAATAGGTCGATGGGAGAGTCAGATGCTTTGGGGTTGATCAGGAGGGCATCAAATTCCTTGCCCACTTCAAAGTTTCCAATCTTACTCTCCAGTCCCAGGGCTAGAGGGGAACAAGCGAGCACACCGTCATTCCTGCAAACCATCAGATCATGCCAATGGGCTGGTTTGCAAGGACAGAATCTGCCAACACATCACTAGAAAAAAAATTAGTATCTTAACAGTGGGGCAGAAAAGTGCTCTCATTTGAATAGGTCACATGAATTCTACTTATAAAAGCAGAGTGAACACAGGAAAGCAAAAATCTGAGAATGAAAACGGTTCCCTTGATCACCATGATAACAATTTTGATGGTGCCTCTCTCTCTATTTCAGCTGTATCAGAGTACTTCACAGGCAGCTGCTCTATGCTTTTCTAAATCAGAGAAATATACCAGCATCATATCTATCTTCTTTTTTCTCCCTCTTCTTCCTGAACACACCATCTCCTTTGACTATTTTTTCATTAAATAGCTGACAAGACTTACTTTCATGACAGTGAAATGAGCCTTACGTAAATAAAAAATAATTATCCTTTTGTGTATTTGCCAATGCAGGCATATCCATCTATAGTTTAGATTCGCCAGATTGAAAAAAAAACTCACTTGTCAAAGTGAACAGCTCCTCATAACTCAAGAGTCCCAATGGCTTTGAAAGGAGACCAATCACCTTTTACTTCAAAGGTTTTCTAGTTGCCCGAGAAGAATGGTTTTCTAAACTAAGGCATAGGTCAATAATATGTATTGACTTGGCCCATCTCACAGCTGTAATTCGTGTCCATGATGCGAAGGAGGAACATCTCTCCTTTCTGTGATTTAATTTTAAAAGATAAAGGTAGATGGCTTTCCTGGTCAATGCAGGTATTAGAACTAAATCTCCTTAAACCTTATAATTCAAGCAAGGTCTACAGTGAGGTGACAGGTGGAAACATGCACAGAAGTAAGGTTAACTGGAGTGCAGTGTTATTTAATTCAATTTTTACATATGCCAGCTGCATTCTATTACTGTCAGAATATAGTCGGCTTGGCAAGTACTGAGTAGATATGTATCTGATATATATTTTATGAATATGTATCCAGAATCTTGGCAAGCCTGAAAGTACTGACTTAGAATTCTTGTTCTTAAAATATTATTTAAATGGAAATGCTTTTATTCTCAGAAAAGGAAAAGATTTTTTAATCTAAAAAATTCTCATAGCAAGAGAGCGGTATAAAAATAATTAGAAATGTTAAAAGCATTAGATGACCTTCTAATTGTATAGGGGAAGGGTTACATATGACAGAAAGATCCCTAGAAATTTTTCTCCTTCACTCATTACACTCTACCTCTTTTTGTCTCTGACAAAGAAACATGTTTTTAATGACTGTATTCAGCATTAAATTGTTCTGTCTTTTATAGGCCAGATAGTTAGGTCCTCATTATTAGAACCTGAAGAGTTTAAGCATGAGTTAAGCAAAGAAGACACAATGCTTCCAAGGAGTTTGTAAATCAATGTAAATTCAGATTGTTGAAAATGGGCCCAACCGGGCTGGTAAGCATTTCAGGAATTGCAGTTTTTCTGCGAATGTTAGCTATATGGAAATGATTCATATACAATTTGATCTTCTTGAGCATGAGTTTAAAGGCTGTGGCAGGGCTCAGAAAATGCCACACTTTAAACAGGAATCCGTTCATCTCATTTTGCTCAAGAGACACAAGGAGAAGAAATCCTGTAACAGTAACACAGTAGCCCAGAAACACAGATTTAAAAGGTACATTGCAAGGCAGAAAGGATTTGGTAGGCATCCCATGATGGCTTGATCAGAAACAGGATCCTGCTGGACCAAATCACAGACAGCCTAGAATAAAAAAAGGATTTGTTAAATTCAACTTGCTTGCACCATGAGCATAGTAGAACAACTTGAACCAAACTCTGATGTGCAAACACCATGATGGTGTAGGGAAGAGGGAGTCTCACCTTAAAAAGTGGGTGACTTAAAACTTAGAGCTTTCTTTATGTGTTCACAACCTAGAACATTCAAAGAAGAGCTAAGAAGATGCACTTAATAGGATAGTTCTAGCCCTTGGATCACCCTTCATTTCTAAGGCAGAGAATAGCTACCATAAATTGACATCTGTATATCTGTGTCTTTAAATTTTTAAATTTCATTGGTTACCTATGGTTTTAGGCTAATTCCCATTCAGATTACACTGTATTTCTAAAATAACTTAAAGCAATATGATTACAATTTTTAGATAAAAATACAGTTATACTTGAGAACTGAGAAGAGCTGAAGAACAATATCCACTTATAAGCCAATTCTATTTTTGCAAATTTCTTCTTTTAAAGAGGCGTGAACAATTAGCATATTTAAATATATCAACCAAATAGGTACATGGTCTAGGTAGGATTTACATAGGAAGATATTACAGTGAAGGGTAGAAGATAAGAATCAGCTCTCTGGCAGTAGATTTTCTGGATTCAAACCACAGCCATGGTGTAGTTTGTCAGCCTTGTAACATACATAAAGTGTGTTGCATTCATGGTAAGATCTTGGTAAGTCTAGGCTATCGCTTTTACTATTAGCACCATTCAAGCCCATAGAGGGCAAATACTTGACTCGATGCAAGAATAGATTATTTTAAAGAACACAAATGCATTGCCCAATGTAAACATCCATTAAAATGATTAACATAATTGTTTATCAAATATCTATTCCTTCAAAAACAGTGGATTCACCAAAAGAATGATTCCTCTACCACACATCAGAACATATATTTTTCTAGTGAGCCTTGGGTGTGTTATGAAAGATATGATGGGGACACTGAATGGCCCTGATTCCACTATCATGGACCTTTACACTCTATCCCAGAATACATATTAGCATCATTGCACAATCTCTGAGAGAGAAATAAAACAGTCATTACCTTCACTTCCTCCAAGAGTAGCTAGTCTGAAGATGTCTTTGAGGGAGAGGCTTTTCTCATTTACCTTATTAATTAAAAGGACATTGGAAACCATCACTGCTTTTCTGATTGCATCAAGCATGGAATATGAATAACCACCAGCCACATCTATAGTGGGCAAAACAAAGTCAGAACAGAGACCATATGAGGACAAATGGGACAGTAGATATATATAGCTGCCTTTACCTTGGTGGCAAATGTTCCATCTTTAATATGCTTATAGAAAAACTCTTATGTATAAACACAGGTTAGCTACAAATCAACATTTAAAAGACTTTGAAACCTATACTTACTATCAAACATATACTTCTATTCATTTCCTACAATTGCACCAACAAATACCACAAATGTGGCTTTATGACAGATGAAATTTCTGTTTTCAGTTTTGGAAGTTGGAAGTCTAAAGTCCAAGGGTTGGCAGGGCCACTATCCCTACAAAAGTTCCAAGGAAAAATCCTTCCTTGTTTATTCCAGTTTATAGCAGCTCCTGGAATTACTTAAATTATGACAGGGTAACTATAATCTGTTTCTGTTTCATCTTTCTCTTTTTTTTTTTGGTACCGGGGATCGAACTCAGGTCCTTGTGTTTGCGAGGCAGGGAGTGGAACCACTGAGCTAAATCCCCAGGCCCTGTTTCTGTCTCAGCCTCTTTCTCCATGGCTTTGTATGTCTCCCCTTTTCTGTTTCTTATAAAGATAGGTCATTTGATTTAGGTCCACACTATTTCAGATTGATTTCATCTTGACATCCTTATCTTACTACAGCTAGAAAGACCTTTATTCCCAATAAAGTTGTATTTACAGATTCTAGAAGACATACTTTGGGGTCACAACTTAACCCCTTATAATAGCCAAATGGTTAATAAAGCTAATTTTTGAATGTTCCTTAAACTCTCATAGAAATTGTTCAAATATGCCCACATGACTTGAAAGACAATTTAGGTAACATGAACTCACTATGTAGTCCAGGTCTCAAACTCACAGCGATTCTCCTGCCTCAGCCTCCCAAGTGCTGGGATTACAGGCATGTGCCACCACGCCTGGCCTGGACCTTGCACTTCTGAGGCAGGAGGCAGCACCACTGAGCTAAATCCCCAGACCACATCCTAACTTTATTTTAACTGAGATGAGAATTTTATAAAATCAACAATCTGTTTATTCTTTAGGATGAACATACATTTTGGGAAATGAGGATACTAAGTAAACAATGCTGATATAGTCAGATTTCTACATTGGCTGGCAACAAGAAATGAGATTTGGGGCTGGGGATTTAGCTCAGCGGTTCGGTGGCCTGCCTTGCAAGCGCAAGGACCCAAGTTCAATCCCCGGTATCAAAAAAAAAAAAAAAAAAAGGAAATGAGATATGTAGTGATTTAAATAGAGTCCCTAATTATAAGAAAATGAAACACTACCTTTGAGAAGAACAAGGTATTAAATGAGTTTGTATAAATGTCAAGTAAATTAGCATGTTTTACTAGAATAACATGCATTTATAGCTAGCAAAAGAGTTTTTTTAAAGGGTTCCTTTTGCCATTTCTAGGTAGGCATCTATAATTGTTTATAAATACAGCAAAGATCAAAAGTAACTTCCTGTTTAAAGGTAATTATAGACTGCAGCTCAATTTTGTTTTACTGTCCTACATGTCCTTAGATAAACTTGTACGGCAATTATATAAAGTGCTTTTCTCCAACTAGAATGATATTGCCCGAGGATTACCCAGTTCCCTGAAAAGTTTTATTACATCTTTCTAAGTTATTAGTTCTTGTAAGGAGATAGTAACTATCCATTAAACCTTCATTATTGCATTATTACAAGTTAATTTTAAAAAGTTAATTAAAAAGAAATACATATAAAAAGAAAATTAATGCCAAACACCTAACAGCCAACCAGTATCAACTGTTATTCTATGTAAAGAATTATTCTGAGTATCACGTTTACTTAATCATCAAAATAATTCTATAAGATATCTACTATCATCAACCTCATTTTAGAGAGAAACATCAAAGTACAATGACAAGTTACACGGCCATCTATCAAGGTAACTTGCCTTTACCAGCTAGTGTAGAGCTGGAATTTGAACCCAGGCTATCTTCACATTCTCACAGTATCTTCTCTCCAAAGCAGAATGTTGTCGTATCTGATAATCGGCAAATTTATGTTGGAAGCTTTTAGTTGGAGAGATCTCTGCGGACTCTTTAGAGAAGTTGCTGAATCAAGCTCAACAGAGAGGAGACTGAGAAATAGCCAGCATCGGGAGAAGAGAGTGGTCTGAGATGAGACTGGGAAACTGTGGAGATCGGTGGGCCTACTGACGAGGACGTCCTCTCAAATAACTACAAAGAGGAGAAGGGGTCATCTGAGGGAAGGAGCTGGCAAGAGAGGAAGAAGAGAAACCCTAACAAAACAGTTTCACTCGCTCAAATATAAGACCGTGTGGACCAAGGAAAGAGTAGTCACCGACACTAAATGTTGCTGAGATCTCCAGCGTGATGAAGACAGAATGGTAGCAGCAAAGAGATCACAGTTGCGGCAGACAACAGAGAAAGGACAAGGGCCACTGCCATGGAGGGTGGGGCAAGAGTCTAGGCAGAAGCGGGCAGAGGGAGGAAAAAGCCTCTCAGGAGTGGCAGCACGGGTCCCCAGTCTAGGAAGAAACGTTGCAGTGAAGGGAGGCAGAGACTTGAGGGGATGTCTCAAGAAGAGAAAGGTGTGAGTGCGCAGAAAACCTCAGATGCTACTCAAGATGTCGGCGCTAAGCAGACAGCAGGTATTGGTAATGCGGGATAGCCAGGGGCTGGAGGAACTTACTTGAGGTAGTGGGGGTGCATACAAAACATACTTCAGGTATTTTTGTTGTGCCTTTCATGCCAAAATATGCTTTATTTTTCTTTTTAAAGCTGCAACAGGAAAAAGAAAACACCAGCAGATGCAGGTAGGCATGTGTATAAATGGGGTGGTGGGAATTTGAGGGAACAATTTCTGATTGTTTGGCTTTGTAATGACTCAGAAGATTGTAAGTTGGGAGTGAGAGCAGAATGAGTTGTGGTAAAAAGTTTAAGGTTAAATGAGAAAAGGCTGTTTTGGAGGAATGTGCTTATTAGAGAAACATAGCTGCCTCTATTGCTAATGCTGAAGGCCATGTGGGATTTGATGGCAAAATTTAAAATAAGACGTCACTGCGGTGGGGGGGGGGGTCCAGCAACTTCCAGACACCTAGCTGCAGGCACTGAGCAGCAGGATTGCTGAGGTAATCAAGGGCCGGGCTTTTGTAAAGTGAACACAAAGAAAACAAGAGGGATATGAAAGGCAAGGGTGTTTCCAAGGGAATGATTATAGTGATGTATTCAGGTATCTAGGAGGGGTAGACAAAAGAGGGAATAATGGATTTTGTGAAAATGTGGAATCACTAGATTGGAGTCCACCAGGAGAGCAAGGAACTGCTGATTTAAGAGTAATGAACAATCAAGGAAATCACCACAAAATGAGACACTGACTCATGCAGGATGTTTGTTTTAATGAATTTGTACGTCTCACTTATGCAAATTCATTCTATAGTTTTATATATTTCCTTCTGATTGCTGCTTTTTAAATCATTCACTCTTTCGGTTTGCTTTTATGTTTTCTTCATATTGCCGATTACGAGGTATTTCACTTTTTATAAGTCTGCAAGTAGTTATCTTTAAAACAGTTGGGCACTCCTAATGCTCAAATCTAAAATACCCAGGTCCCCAAAACATCTCAAGTGGAAAACGTTAGATGTTCCCTGCCTTGAGATGGATGCTACGTAAAACAACAGCCTTCTCCTTCCCATAATGCCCAGCTTCCCATTTAGAATATGGCTTCTTCCACCAAAAGGACAACCTTCTCCCAAAATGCCCCTCTTCTCACCAAAAGAGTAACCTGATACTTGCTACCCCCCTAGCAACTAGTGATGCCACAAGCTCCTCCAATCCCTTACTACTACATCACTCAACCCCACCACAGCTCCTAGGAGCCCCACTCCAGCTCCTGTAAGAAGCGCTCCCTGCCTTAGCCATATTGCTTTCTCTCCTTTGTTCATGGACAGCCCGGAAGATTGTTCCTATGACAAAGGCTTGTTGCGCTTCTGGTCTTGGTTTTTGGTTTTACCTGACAGAAAAGATCTTCCTACAATTGTTATGGCTGGGGAACGAAGAGCCCCTGGACCACCTCTTGGTCCACAGTATGAGTTTAAATATTATCTAAAGTCTAAAAGAATAGGGAAAATGGATACATAACAGTTATGTTTAGAAAATAGCAGAGCACAGGGTGGCTACTGGGTCCAAGACTGAGTAAAACCAAAGCAGCATTCTTCAAGGTAATAAGCTAATACCTCATATTCTTCAAACTTTTGGTCAATCCAGCAGCTTTGCTCCTCCCTTTTCAAGCCTTTCTTGACTGACCAGTGCTTTGCGGCAGGTCTGTGCCGATCATTTTGCAAGCAATTTTTTCATGTAATTTTAAAAACAAGCATATAAGATAGATATTGTTATAACTGCTATTGTTATATAAATCAGAAAATGAACCTTTAGGTATATAATTTGCTTAAAATCTTACTCTTATGAGCTAGATGTTTCCTTTTTCATACTTTTGATGCTACAGCTATACAACCCAAAGTAAAGAAATGGAAGTCATATTTTGAATTTAAACCACGGGAACTAAATCCCAAAGAATCTAAAGGTAAAACCTATCCTATTTTTTGTATATTTGCCTAATTTTTCATATTAATTAACTATATTATACTTTCACATTAATTGATGCGAGAATTCTTTTCTTAGTCACTAAAGCTTTCCTGTAAAACAGCTAGTTTTAGATCTTAACACCTTTGAGTATATTCAGATATTACTATAATATCAGTGACATAAGGCTTGAATTAGAACATTTTTTTATTTTTGGTACCTAGGGCTGAATTCAGGACCTTGCGCCTGCAAGGCAGGTGGTGGCACCGCTGAGCTAAATCCCCAGCCTGAATTAGAAACTTTTTAAATTTTAAATTACTTTGACGGGCACCTGCCTCGCAAGCACGAGGACCCGAGTTCGATCCCCGGGACCGAAAAAAAAAAGATTACTTTGAGTCTATGTAAAATTGAGAAAAACTATCATCTTTTAAAAATATAAATAAAATAATTACGCATATTATTGTATCTCAGCAAGTAATTGCTTCATGTGAAAAAATGCCTCACTGTGACAATATGAGACTGCAGTTATTGGTGACAGTGACGGATTCATCAGTGTTGACAAGCACACAGCCCGATGGTTGTAAAACAGAACGCAAAACAAAGGTAAGTACGCTGTGGCTGAACTCATATGTGGAATCTAACAAAGCTGATTTCATAGGAGTCAACAGCAGAATGGTGGTTAAAGAGACTGGGGAGCACGGAATGAGAGAAAAGCAGGGAGATTATTGGTAAATGGGCACAAAATTACAAAAAGAAAGACAAGTTCTGGTGTGATACTATAGACAAGGATACGGTGCATCTAAAACACAAATCAGAAGAAATGATCAGTGCTTGAGGACATAGGTGTGCTTGCCCTGACTTACACATTATACAGTGTATACCTGTATGGAAATATCACACGGTATCCCATTAATATGTACAATTTTTATGTGCTGATTAAAGTTTTAAAACAGAAACAGAAAAGTCTTTTTGCATCATACAGTCCCTTTAAAATGTTTTTGTAGTTATTTCTTTACTCATAAAAGAAGGGTCACAGCAGATACCTAGACTTTGGGCCTGACTCTCACTTTGAGAGTGAACAACAGCCCCTACATTCAGGAAAAACAAGAAAATGTATGGGGGGGGCTCACAAGCCAGCTGTCACCTTGAATGTCCTTCAGCCAGTAATCACTAGATGCCTATTAGAAGCCAAGAGTCATTTGGTAAAACTGCTTAAAAGCAGTTCTTAAGTGGGAAGGGTAGGGGAAAGGGAATAAGGGAAAAGAAAAAAATATGAGAAAATGAAAAAATGGAAATAAAGCATTTGTAAATGGGGAGGGGAGGAAGGGGTGAAGGGAGGGCAGGGACAAGGGGAAAAAATGAGAACCCACACCTGTCATGTAAAGGTACAAGATCCCAATAATGAATGTAACTGTACTGTATACCTACAATGTACCGATAAACTCACTAAGAGAAAGAGAAAAAAAAAGCAGTTCTTATCCTGCTGAGTTCTTGGAAGCTGGCGGAGACTACATGTGGTCACCATGGCAAAGCCAAAGAAGTTTTCTCTTGAGACATTTGTGATGACAACAGTTTGAAAATGTAAAAACCCACAAACCCAGGGCCAGGGATTTAGCTCAGTGGTGCTGCCTCCTGCCTTGCAAACGCAAGGTCCTGAGTTCGATCCCCGGTACAAAAACAAAACAAAACAAAACAAAAACCCAAAACCCCACAAATCCAAATCATTAAAACCTAGCCTGAAGGAGACAAATTACAAAAACAAAACAAAACAAACAAACAAACAAAAAACCCCCAAAAACTAAGGACTTAAAAAAAGAAACTGTAGGGCTGGGGATTTAGCTCAGTGATACCAAGCCTGCCTGGTAAGCGCAAGGTCCTGAGTTCAATCCCTGGTACCGCCAAAAAGAAAAAAGAAGGAAAGAAAGATACTGTATTAGAAAGATTCATAACCCAATCTCTAAACAACCGATCAGGACCCTGGCTGTGTGTGTGTGTGTGTGTGTGTGTGTGTGTGTGTGTGTGTGTAGGGGGCAGTGTTAGTGTCATTAAAACTTCACTCTTCCCATCCATGTCCTTACTGCTTCCAGTCAAACTACTTGGCTAGACACTTATGAAGACATCACTATCAAATAATGAATCTCATGTTTCTTAATCATTCGAGAGTTACCTGCAAATCAGTCACAGAAGAAAGTTATTCGCTAACTGGCCATGTTGCCATAGCTCCGTATGGTGAACTACTAACCTGTCCCCAGCCCTATCTTCACCTTGTGTTTCAGGACTTCAAGCACATTTAGAAAGCCACTGCTGAGCCTGTAGAGAGAGAAGACATCAGAACAAGCAGATCCACGTGATTCCATCAACAGAAGGATGCTAATAATAACGGCGATATCAATAAAAACTGTGTTTCCCATTAATATCCACTCTAACACTGACCTAAATACATCAGTCGAATCAGACCATCCAACAACTGGAGCACATAAAGAGCTTATCCTTGGGTTGAGGGTACACTTAGGAAGGTACAAAGAAGCAAGAGCCAGAGGGAAAGCAGAAGATCACTTATATGGGGAAAAAAATGAAGAAATTAAACTTCACAATCCAAAAGTTTTATCTGCTATAAATCTTTTTAAATCAGGTCATCCTTCTTCATCAGAAATTATACTATAAAGCTACGTCCTTCCTCTATGACCAGAACCAGTGGTAACCCTGCGTAAACAGTGATTTGTGTTAGAACTCAGAAAACATCTCAGAGTGTGGTACTTTGGGTCTCAAGAATTGTCTCAAAAAAAAAAAAATCAGAGTCTGTCTGTTGTTCAGTGATACAGCAGGTGCTCTGTTTGTGTGAAGCACCGGGTTCAATCCTCAGTACCAAAGAAAGAAACAAAATCTCTCTTCTTCAAGGTTAGTCATAGAAACTTGAAACTTGTTTCCCCAAAGCAAGACATGGGAGGTAAAATATTGCTCTACTCTGTGCTCTCTGTTCTGTCTTAGGGGCCGTGAAGAAATTCTCTGACCTACCAGGCCCCAGAGAAGGCCATGAGGTGCCCATGTTACAAGGGTCCTGAACATGCTGCACTTTTCATGTCCAACATGGACTTCATCACTGAAAAATACACCAGTACTCGCTCACAAGGAGGTACAGGGAGAGCTCAGCAGTTACCCTCCTTATAAGAAGAATTACCATTATTTGCCATGCACAAGATTCCTGGGCATAAATCTTACACCTGCAGAAGCATGCATTTAAAAACATTTTATCACAAAACTCTCAGCAAGGCCAAGCACCTGAACGGCAGGCCTCGATGGGCTTTCTCATCCAATATCTTAGCACTAGGTCAATCTTTCCTGTCCAATAACATTCAATATGGTGGTCCATGCTTCATCAAATCAAAACAAAAACAGGGAGCAATCTCTATCTTTTCATCTTCATTCTAAAGGCTCCCATGCAGCTAAAATTGTGATTAAATACATTTGTTAGGCTGGTGTCTTTTGTGTTCGAGGACAGGCTGTGACCTTTACGCTGGTGAGAAAAGGTACCAGGCCTGCCAGGAGGATGCAAGTACTAAAAGGAGTACACGCTCCTAAGTGAAAGCCTGGGAGTCTAGGTGCTGCTGCTGAGGACACTTCTGAAGGGGAGACAAAGTTCCTGCCAATTTCTGGACCTCATGCCCTCAAGCTTAAGAGATGTGCCACCTTTCTAAAAAGACAAACGAAAGCATATCCTTAGAAGTCCAAGAAGATGCAAAGGTCAGAGTGATCTGCTTAAAATGCATATGTCTATAATTCCAAAGCCCCAGGGCACACGTAATAAACCTCTCAACGTTGTTAAAGAATGGTAAATAGAAATCTATCCTTTTTGACATTTAACTTCAAACTTCAACGTTGCAAAGCTGGTTCATGTTTTAATGTAGAAAATGTTGTATAACTCATCCAAAGAATGTTACATTCCCCCCCCAACAATGTTAAGCTTTAATGTTTACAAAACCATAATTAAGGTGACAACATGCAAAATTTCTTGAAATGGTTCTACTCAAAATATTCTTTTTGTTGTTGTTGTTGTTGTTACCCGGAATCGAACTCAGAACCTTGCACTTGAGAGGCAGGTGCGGTGCCACTGAGATAAATCCCCAGCCCCAAATATTCCTATTCTAAGTACTCCTTGTTTTCTCCACCACCTACCAAGTTCCTATCGCAATCAAATGTAATGATAAAAGACACATCCTGGAGGAATGAAACGACTTAGAAAACAAAGATGTGCGGCGGCCCACCTGCAATGCACACACAGTTTAGCAAACTATTATATTACTTACGATAAGTTAGAATTGGGGCAGTGAGAGATGGAAGCTCCTCGCTCGTGGAATATGTCCAGCTCTTCTGCAGAAAGGTAGCAGCCGTGCGCCATCAGTGTCTGGAGAGAAGACGTCCGACATGGAGTTCATCACTCAAAAATACATACACCACACCGGGCGCGGTGGCGCACGCCTGTAATCCCAGCACTCGGGAGGCTGAGGCAGGAGGATCGCTGTGAGTTTGAGACCAGCCTGGGCTACATAGTGAGTTCCAGGTGAGTCTCACTATATAGTGAGACTCTGTCTCAAAAAACCACCCCCCAAAAAATACCTACACCACTACTCTCACAGGGAGGTACAGGGAGAGAGGAAAGCCATGGCTCAGCTGTCACCCTCTTTATAGGGAGGATTACGATTATTTGCATGTACACAATCCCTGGGTATAAATCTTACACCTCCAGAAAGTGCATTTAAAAACATTTTATCACAAAACTCTCAGCATATCTGTGGGTCGTACTTCTGTTTCTTTGCTGTTGTTGTCCTATAAGGATAATGAGGGTTGGTTCAGGTAACCTGCAAAATAAGATCCCCTACCAGTTTGAAGTAGCTGGATATCCTATTCTATCATTTCTGCTAGAAAATTGTCAAGTTGTTTTCTTTTCTAAGAGTATGCAGTCAGCTATTGATAGGCCTGCGCTTCTTCCTGTTCTAATCAAAACTTTCTAGAAATACATGGTAGCTGTGAGAGTGAGTCTCCAACAACTGTGCTTTATTTCTGATCCTAGATCTAACATAGTAACAGTGGTCTTCACATATACCACCAAATAAATCTTAACTCACCCATGTTCATATTTTCATAAAATTAAACAGTCTAACGTAAGCATTAATTTAGAAAGTAAAACTGATGAAAGAAAGCTGACACTGTACATATGTGAGACCTCTCCAAACGTTTAGTCTTGGTATAATTTGTGAGTTTTCTGGAATGAGACTTTACTCTTTCAAAATTCTTTTCCTCTCAGTACAGAACCTACATCTAAATAACTTTCTCTTTGAAAGTCATGGTTCAGTGACCAGAGAATTATCCTTAAAATAAAACCTTCCCAACCTCATGAAAATTGAGGGTTAATTTATTAGTTGTATTCAAACTGTGCAGAGGAGGATGAAAATTAGGACGTAGCATTCACATGACTTACACCAGTTACTGTCCTTTCGAATCAGTAACATTCATATCTCAAGCCACACACTTATTCACAAATTATTTGCTGCAGTAAATTCTCCATGCAGTTTGCACATTTCAAAGAAGGCCAAGACCAAAGGGTATATTGCTGTAATGAGGTTTCTTAACATTCATACTAATTTTAAATAATTATAAAAGCAATACATACTATTATTTAACATTGTAAGAGTTTAGAAATGTTTCTGCTTTCTCCCTCAGGAAGTTTCTTTTAACATTCCGTGTGAGCCTTCAGGCAGCTTCTTCTGAGAACACACCTACACATCAGAGCACATCAAACTATACTGTGCCTTCTTTCTTGGAAGACACTTCATTCTTGGTGAATGTTGGATGGAATCTAATCATGTACGTTTTATAGTTTAACCCATCCTCTACTGATGGTCATTTAAACATGTTCCTACGTAATCAACATCCCTATTTTTAATCCTTATAGAAAGAATACTTAGAAATGCATTTGCTGGGCCACCACTTTCCAGTCCCCCTTCTGTCTCTCTTAGAAGCCGTCTTTCTCTCATTACCTTCTGCCTATACTTAACCGCCATCAAGAATTCATTCTTTGATTTTAGAAAACACAAACTCGGTGTTTTGGATATTTAGCAGAAATGCATCTGATGTTCTGGATTTGATTTAGATTCAGCCACAAGACCTGAAAAGTGAAAACTAAGAGAAAGATCTGTGTCAGAGGATATTCGGCATAGAACAGATGCTTAGTACACGGTGACAGCACAGAAGGTTTGGAATTAGCCTATGGAAAAGTGAATGAGCAGAAGACTTCTGCTTCTGTAATTTTAATACGTTACCATGGAATGCCTTCTTTTTGTCCAATAAAACAAAAGCTACTTTTGGTTTATCAAAATTTTGAAAAAATAGGAAACGTAAAAATATATCAAAGTTTGAAAAACAATAAAGAATTCTGAACATCGCTGAGAAACTGAGCTATCAGAAATGTCATGAAGCTGAAATAAGATTTTAATGATTGAAACCAAAAATTCCAGTTGTTTCTGAGAATAACTATAATAATACTTTTTCTGGTCAATCTGCTCTAAACACTAATAAAACTACTGCCCTCCATGTAGTCATAGCCCTTTTCCTGAGGTTCAGATGAATCTTTTCTCTTTCCTTCCATAAACTGTCGTTTACACCTATGTTCACATACATCCATATTTATAATTTATAGATAGATACTAGAGGGGCAGGGCAGAATTTTAAAATATTCTTAAAGTGTTTAATAATGCATATCATAAAAAGTGTTTTTCTCACAAGCCTACAAGCATTACCTCTTTTTCGATACCATATATGGCATATACACCTAACCTACACCAAAGAGCTGTGCTATATTTAAATGTGTAAGAACACAGGGTCTCATCTATCCCAAAGTGTGAATAAAGTGAACACTTAAAAACTATTTAGATAACAAACAAGGTATTAATGGAAAGGGAATTAAAGAAATACATTTATTGGCTCACGCAACGGTTTTATTTTATTAAGGACTATGGGCTATATTTATGAGGGAATTTTTTATGCCAAGGCTATCTTCACAGCAAATTTTGTTAATAAGATGCATTTGTGACCTTAGTTTTAATACAATCATGCAAAAATACATAATAAATTCATACTTAAACAAAGAAAATGGAAAAACTTGAGTTAAAAAAGGCAATTTTTGTTAAGATTTTGCTTGTTTCTATAAGATACTACTTTTATTCTGTGAACATGCCTTTTTTTGCACTATAACCAAATACTTCACAAAACTGCAAGAAACGCCACTATTAAACGACTTACATGTCTACAAAAACATCATCATTAAGATGCATCTATTATTACAAGTCAACTAATGACTGCTAATATACACATTAATTTTGAATCTAGGCAAATATTTGGTAACTTTTATTAGCATATTTCAGGGACATAAAGAGTATTATAAAATACAAATGAATTTTACCATTAAAAAATGCACTTGCTGACGTGAAGGCACAATTGTATGCTAAAGATACTGTCAGAGTGTGTTTGGAACAAATGACATCTCACCCTGGTATGGAGCCTTAGAGTTGACTGGGATGAAACCACACACACACACACACACACACACACACACACACACACACACACACACACACACACACACACACACACACACACACACACACACACACACACACACACACACACACACACACACACACACACTGGATTTTCTGCTAGTTTGGTAGTTGAATGCATGTCACAAAAGTCTGATAATCACAAGAGAGATTTTAAGGTTTAGATAAATGTACCCGACTTCACATACATTATATCATGAAACAGAATGTACCTTATCTGTCAGAAGGTTATTTTTATCATAGACATCTGTGTAGTTCTTATAACTGGGGAACAAGTTTTTCACTGCTTCAACTTCATCTGGAGTTTCACTTATATGGCTCTGCAAGAAAAAAATAGCATTTTCACATTTTTTTCCAGTAAAATATTAGAAACTATACTTCCTTCCTCCAAATTCTCTGATTGGTTTCTAGTTGCTGATACAGGGGCCATACAGTATATGAGTTTTATTTAAAATAATTATATGATCAAAATACTATGAAGAACATGTGTGTGTATAATCTCAAGACAAAATTTGCCAATAAAGTCTTTTGCAATTCCAACTGTAGTAAGTACTCAAAGTACTCTGTAAAGTGTCAAGAATTCAGCTGTTTATGGCAATCTCCTCTTTTGGTATTGGCCGTTTAAGAAAGAGTTTAGAGTACCTCAAGACATACAGCATGGCTGGGATGTGAACAAAAAGCTTGAGTTTTAGCCCAAGTTCTGGCCCCAGTTACTAGTCTTAGGGGAAATAAATTTTCCTTTGGGCTTTCCTTTTCTTGTTTCTCAAAAGGGTTGGGATAAATGACTGATTTTCTAAATTCTATTAGCTGCAGGTATATTATTCATACTTCATGTTTGCAAGTCATAGATATCTAACATGTAAAAGGCAGGGCCGGGGATTTAGCTCAGTGGTTCCGCCACCTGCCTCACGAATGCAAGGATCCAAATTCAATCTCCAGTACCAAAAAAAAAAAAAGCAAAAACAAACAAACAAAAAAAGGCATACACAAGTTGCCCCTTGGGATAATAAGGACTGGACTCCAGGAGCCTGACCCTAATCTGTCCCCTTGTTGTTTTTCTCAGTGAGTTTCCCTGCAAACAAATAATTTGAAAACAACTAAGCTGGACAATCCTGCTATCATCAAGAAAGAGTCCACAGGAATCCACATGTAATCAAAGAGAGTGAAGGCCCTCAGACTGACCTTTCCTCAGATCCTGAGAGGACATAAGGCATTTTTGAGATACAACACTTACGAATAACCACTCCAACTCACAGCCTAAAAGAAAGATCCATTCAGAACTATTTATGATAAGTATCTATTATAGACAATAACAATGAGCAGATGAAAGCTTCCAAGAATGGCAATGCCATTTCTCTTTCTCCATAAGGGAGAATATGTAAAGCCAGAAAAATGATAGGAAGAGATAACAATGTTCTACAAACAGGTGTTCCTCCTAGACAATGAGCTCTATCTTTGGCCTTGAGTATCTCAGACCATTGATGAAAGGCCTGGACACAGGAAGAGAAAGGACAATCAAACAATTTGTGTCATTTTGGTAAATTTGAGTAAATACACAGACATCTATGCAGATCCTAAGCAAGAACAGACTTTGTTGTGTGTGCTTTCCATTTTAGTTTTTATATCTTGTAAATGTTAGTTTTTAAGGAACAGAAGAATTTGATTTTAAAAGTAGAAACATCATCTAATTTTATCTCTGGGAGATAATTGCATGGGACTGAATCCAAAATTCAAATATCAGACACCAAAATTAATAAAAATAGGAAAGATAAGAATAGTTAATGTGACCTAAGATGACTTAAAAAAAAAACCTACAAATGGTAAAGGATCAATAAGTTGCCGTTACCCTTAGTTGCCCTTTCCTAAGTTAGTCAACTCTTAAGAGAAATTTTACTACAGTATGTAATTAAGGTTGGATGAGGAAGGGGAGCTCCCAATTTAACCCCAGATTTTAAAAGTGTTTTATTGCTAAAATGCATA